TACACATTTTCTCCTCAAAATACAAACATATAAATTACTACCTCTGTCCCATAATCTACTTCCGTAGTACAAATGACACAAGGATTAAGAAAGTGAGTTTTGTGTGGTGGAGAGTTGTGCAGAGGAGAGAAAAATGTGTAAGAATTGTTGTGAACCACAAATTCTTTGACAAAAAGGAAAAGAGAAGTTCTTTTTGAGACGGACGAAAAGGAAAAGTTGGAAGTATTTTTAAGGACGGAGGGAGTATTACACTAACTCAAACAAATACATTCTCATTATTTTTAGGAATTTTATCAATTTGGGACCTGAAAGATAGATGAATTATCAATCTGGGACCTGAAAGATGAAATGTATCAGTATAGGACTCGAAAGATGAAAAACTATCGATCTAGGACCTAACATTTGATAGGTTATGGTTTATTTAATTTTTTATTAATTCCATTGCAAGTATTTGGTGAAATTTTCTTCACAAAAGTTTATTAGTTTAATAAAACTAAATATTATTTAAATTTTTTAAAATAAAAATAATAATTTTTTTTTTTAACTTAGGTCCTAAATTGATAGTTTTCAATCATTCGGATCCTAGATTGATAGTTTTCCGTCATTCAGGTCCTATACCGATACATTTCATCTTTCAGATCTTGAATTGATAGTTCATCTATCTTTCAGGTCTTGAATTGATAAAATTCCTTATTTTTATATTTTTTGGTGTTGATAGAATATTTTTTGGTTTTGAACATTTTGCACTAAATACCTAAGTAGTTCAAGATTAGTCTACCGAAGAAACCCACCGTTTTGCGTGAATAGGTTCAGCACACCAACCAAGATGTCAATTGTCAAAAGACAAGTGATTAGACCGTAATTAAAGTTTGAACGCCCGATTTGCATCATAACACAAATCAATATAGAAGATTTTGGACCATACATATTGAATATAAAAACTCATTTTTGCTATTATTAGTAAATATCACTATGGACTCCTTTGATTAAGAGTCCCATGTTTGTCAATTACTCTTATTTAAATAATAATAATAATAATAATAATAATAATAATTACATGATACTCGTAATCATCATTTATTACCCCCTTTGTCTCATGAAACGGAAATTATACCGTCGATCGGTCCACCATGCATAAGGTGTGTCGATTCCAAACATTACAGTTTCATATTAAAAATTGCAAATCATTTATTTCATTCGTCTCCATCACCCCTTCATCTCATTCGTCAGTTGCTATGCCTATCTGCTGCGCATGTGCTCTGCATCGAAGCTGTGTGTTTCCTCCCTCTCTGTATTTATTGTGAATCGGGAGTTTCGTGTCTAGGCTTAGGTACTCCGCGTCTGATTCCCTGCTCTGCTTCAAAATTACCTAAAATCTGATGACCAATCATATCTACGCCCGTCTATCCATGCGCAGATTCAATATGTATACAAAGTCAATAACCCAAGTCTAAATTTATCTCGCTGATTCAAGTTTGAGGGACAAAATTTGAGGAAAGTCATTACCGATCCAAATTCTTGTCTCTCGAGTCAATTATTTTGATTATATTTGGGCTAATAAGTTACATTTCTATGCTTATATTTGATTTGAGCTCAAGTTACATTTCTATTAAAGCAATTTACACTTCGATTTAGTTCAAGTTACATTTCAATTAACGTGATTTACATTTTCGATTTAGTTCAAATTATATCTCAATTAACATGATTTACATTTTTGAATTTTGTCAAGTTACATTTTACACACTATCGAGTTACATTTCGTTTTGTCTAAAGTTACATTTGCTAACACATGGTTTACATCTCACATATGAAAAGTGATAGAACTACTAGAGGGAATAACATGAGTTATATTTCAGGGACAAGTTACATTTGACACTAACTAGAGTTATATTTGTAATAATGCTAGTTACATTTCATTACAAGGAATTTACATCACAATTTTTATTTAATTATTAAGTCAAATAATATCTATGAGAGCATGATCCTCACTGTGGGCTACTCCCGCGGTATAACAACTCCTCAGGAAACATAGTCAATTTTTCTTTATAATTTATCTCAAAATCTTTATTACGTTCCCATTAAAAATATCAATCTAACTTTTGTTTCAAATTTCAATACGAATTTTACTTTTTACTTTATATTTCTTTCGTCCCTTAAATATTAATCAATTTGACCAGCATAAAAATTAATAAAGGAAAAAATGTCACTACTACATTTTTAGACCTAATGTAACATATCTATAATAATGGTACGTATTTCTCTAATGTAACACTTTTCAGACCTAGTGTAACACATTCTAGAAGTATAAGTGTTACATTAGGTACTATAAAGTGTTACAATAGGTCAAATGCAACACCAGCAAATGTAATGGTAAAAAAATGTTACATTTACTCTGAAAAGTGTTACATTAGAGAAAATGTAACATTTTTTTACCATTACATTTGGTGGTGTTGCATTTGACCTATTGTAACACTTTATAGTACCTAATGTAACACTTATACTTCTAGAAAGTGTTACACTAGGTCTAAAAAGTGTTACATTAGAGAAATAGGTAACACTATTATAGATATGTTACATCTCTAATGTTACATTAGGTCTAAAAATGTAGTAGTGTGTAGTTGAAGTTTGTGTAGATGAAAGATAATTTAATGGAACTATAAATTTTTTCACTTAAAAGGAAAGAAACAATCAGTGGGACAACTAAAAAATAAAGGGGGTGTATTGAATATAAATTGTGATAAACTTTTTTTAATCTATGAACTTTTTAAAAAGTCAATGGACTTTGAATTCCATATACTTTTTTATGAATGAATTCTATTTCCTTTTAAATCCATGGACAATTTTATAGACTATCAAAAAGTGTAAAGACTTTTAAATCCCAGTCGAAATCGTACCTACTGTTTTCGGTCGTTAAGATTTTCACCTAGATCGTCGCTAGTTCGCTACCGATCTGCCTGTTCGCCTCCGTCACCGGAGTTTACCACTGTCGTCATCGGACTGACCCGTCACCAACAAAATGGCTTTGGTTATGCAATGGAACTAGGGGCAATTAATTATATTAATTAATTAAATTAGGAGTAGAAATGCAATATTTAGTTCTATTTAAGAAAAATCAAACATATGATCATAATTTGGAGAAGATGATATGTTTTAGTCCCACCATGAGTAATTTCCCATGTATATATGATAAAAAAATATTAAATAAATAAATGAAATAAATGTAATTCATTTAGTAACGCAGAGTTCTACAAAAATAAATGAAGCATAAGAGTCCAAATTTATTTTTATTGAAAAGACAACTCAAAGTTTCAAGAATGCTCAACAATCTTGGTCTCGTTATGATCAATTGTTATATTACACAACTCAATGAGTAAGAACATTAATCGTTACACCAATGTTACATTCATTGCTACATGTGGTACAAGCATAGATGCAATCGATCTTTTCTTCGTAATAATTGTGCTCTTTTCATTTCTAGCTTGTTAAACTTTGTATACTTATTTATGGTTATATATTTATTAATTTGAAATTATATTTTTATGTGTTAGTGGTTTAACGATGAAACACAGTAATACTTAAAAAAATTAATGGTTAACTAACGACGTACCAGAATTGCACCGATGTAATATTGTCGATTCTTATATTGGTTCATCTAAAACTTCTAGAACTGAATTGATATGAGAGTAACAATTCTTCAAATGGTTCCTAATTTTCTTTCAAGAACTGAACTGATCTCACTCCTACATTTTTCTTTGTAAGATAACATATAAAATATCACTTTTTAATTTTTTTCTTAAGTTTATGTTGTGTATCAGTCAGTATTAATGTAGAATCTCCTTGTTCAACTTTATTTATCGTTAAACGATTTAAAAAATCAAAATTTAATGTTCAAATCTTGCATATTTAGGCCACCCTGGTACTACCTCCCGATCCGGCCTGTACTAGTCCAGGACTTATTAGCCGGTTTGTGATACCGGGTAAATAATTTGCCAAATCTGCAACCAGATATATGCGTACTTGTGACGAGTAGAAGACAACAAAAAAGTCTACGAAAATCTTTGGTGAGGAGAAGAGACAATTCAAAAGAATTATTGAACTAAGAATGAGTTAAAAGTCCACGAGAATCTATTATTTTAGAAGTCAATAAGAATGAACGAAAGTTTGAATACGTCTAGACTTTTATAGACTTTCAAAGGTCTATATTGAATACACCTAGACTTTTGTAAGTTTTTTAAAGTCCACATCTAATACACCTAAACTTTTAAATCTACGGGCTTTTAAAAGTTTGCCACTTATTCCTAACACAATACATCTCTCAAAGTTGACAAAGTTTGAAGGGAGGACATTTAATTTTAAATTGGAAAAATAACTTTAAGTAATACCAACTATCACTTATAAATCAATAATAATACATACTTTGAAAATGTTTTTTAATAATACTCCGTATCAACTATTTGAATATAAAAAATAATAATATGGAGTCACTTTTTATCAAGAAATCAAGTCATTTAAGACATTAAAAACTAATAACAAACTATCAAATAAATGATATTTGGAAATACGATCACTTATTTGATATTTTGATACTAGTTTTTGATGAATTAAATAACTGAATTTTCATTGAAAAATTGTTCTATATCACTTTTGGTTTATATTTAGATAATTGTTATTATTAAAAGTATTTTCCAAAGTATGTATTATTCTTGGTTCATGAAAGATAATTTGTATTATTTAAAGTTATTTTCCTTTTTAAATTTGATCGAGTGCGTTTTACGAATAAATAAGTAAATTAAAAATAAACCAATGGAGTAGATATAATTGATTACCCGAGTAACAAAATGGCTTTGGAATCAGTAAAATAGCCTATTATGATGGTTTACTGCTAATTACGGTGAGAAGTATTAAATTTTAGCCATGTACTCGAAGCCTAGAGAAGTTAATCCTGCCATGAAGCCTTCCCCATACTCAACGAACAATTATCAGAGAGACACTGAAAGTGAGAGAAATTAGGGTTCAATAATATATATACCCACTCTTTAAAGCAAGCCTCACAAACAAACAAACAATTTGTCTGGAGAAAAAAAGTACAGTTCGAATAAAGTTTTTGTCTGCCCACTCTTTCCTTTTTCTGATTGTCCCCCTTTTTCATCGCCCATAAAATATGAGATGTTTCTGACACACGATTCCAGAATTCTCTTCAAATCAGCGAGAAATTACAGACCCAATATTGATTTTTTAATCTCTTATCCAAACAAATAAAAATGTTTCATCTTTTTTCCTGATTGAACCCTTCTGATCTGGAACAATCTCTGCCACCATCCAATCTTTTATGGGGTTTCACAGCTAATGCTGTTGCTCAAAGGTGACACACCCATCAATGGAAGGTCCACAGGAATTGAACCCAGGTTCAAGGTATGCCATGCCAGATCCCCATATTCTCTGAACTAAGAATAAACACTATTGCTTCCCTGTCTTGTGAGGATCTGCATCTTTGATCTCTGCCCATACCCATCTGGTCTTTTTGTTGCCTTGTTAGACATTAATGGTGTCTAGGTCTAATTCTTGTGCTGATCAGTATATAGTGTTGGGAATTGGTGTTGGTGGGTTGGAACATAAGCAAAAACTAGAGCTGAGGTTGGGTCTGATGACTCTATTTGCTGGCTCTTTTGGATAAAAGTATCAAGATTTGGTGGTTAGACTGTTAGAGATTATTATTGTTGTTGTTTTTCATTTCCAAAAAGAAAGGGAGTAAGAAAATGGTGAGACCATGCTGGAGAGCTTCTGCAGTGGCAGATGGAGATGATGATGGAAAGGTTAAAGGACTGATGTGGTACAAGGATTTGGGGACTCATGTGAATGGAGAGTTCTCAATGGCTGTAATACAAGCGAACGGCGTGTTGGAGGATCAAAGCCAGATCGAGTCCGGTCCGTTGACCGGCCTTGACTCGGGTCCTGATGGAACATTTGTTGGTGTCTATGATGGACATGGAGGACCAGAGACATCCCGGTTTATTAAGGATACTTTGTTCTCCAAACTCAAGAGTATGTTTCTCTTTCCAAATGGACATGCTTATTTCTTTATATCTAGCTTTTTCTTGGTGTCTGTTGTTGTGTTTTCACTTACGCATAAGTCAATTTACTTATAGCTTGATTGGTGATGATTATTTGTTTTTATTTAGTTGTGCCAAATTTGTGCAAGGGAAAAGTTATTGGTATCATCCATTTCAGACTTTCAGTCAAATAAGGTGATCAAAAAGCTACTTAGGCCCGGCTTATTAAGCTTATCAGCATAATAAGCAGAGAAAAACCAGCTTGGTAAACCTGGAACTTGATGAATATGCTGAAATTGCTGAATCTGCTTCAATAAGAAAAAAATATACCTAAAATATTCTACGTATTTTATTATTAGAACAAAGACTTGTAGGGTAAAAAGCTTGAAGAGTCCCATTCAGACACAAAAGTCCGTTCAACCTTATTTTTGTCATTATTCGCTAATTCAGCTCAAAGTAATGAAAAAGTTCACCCCACGAAACCTTAAAGTTATTATTTGATAAAAATTGGCTGATGAGCCAAAGATAAAGTTACTGAACAGGCATGTAGTGAGCAGCTTTTTAACTTACTTTTTTGGTTGAAACTGATTTTTCCAAATGTATTCCCCCTTTTAACAAAAGTCAACATCTTTAGCTAAATCAACCAAATAACCCTTACCCAATGGGCGGCATTGAGCTTATTCTGCTCATAAGCCGAATAAGGCAATCATGGCTCCCAATCCTAAGAGGAAACTGTCATTTCTGCTTTCTTTGAAGATGTTGTGTATATTATGTTTAATTAGCATTTGATATTCGAGAAATGCGCTACTAAAACCATGAGATCTTCTCACAAGAGACATTGCCATTTTTTTCCACAGGATTCGCATCAGAGCATCAAGAGATGTCTGGAGACGCCATAAAAAAGGCTTTCTTGTCAACAGAGGAGGACTTCTTGTCTGTTGTGAAGAGACAGTGGCTTAGTAAGCCACAGATTGCATCAGTGGGATCATGTTGTTTAGTAGGAGTAATATGTAATGGACTTCTTTATGTTGCAAATGCGGGTGATTCTCGCGTAGTTTTAGGAAGCGCAAATAAGGTACTCAAAGGAACCACAGCTATACAATTATCAACGGAGCACAATGCTAATATACTATCCGTGAGAGATGAGCTTCACTCATTGCATCCCCATGATTCACAAATTGTGGTTCTAAAGCACAAGGTTTGGAGAGTCAAGGGTCTTATTCAGGTAATACTCCTTCCACCACACTTGTGTATAAATATTACCTTGTAGAGCCTTGCTTTATGCCCCTGTTGATAGCTATGATAAGCAGAACAAGTAGATCTTTGGACTTTGAGAGTGTCTAGGATTACTTATCATAAGGGAGTCACTGGGTTTTAGAGAAAGAAGAATACCTTTACTTAAAAAAGAGTTCGGCAGGAAAGAAAATAACTTTGAACAATATAAATGCATTTCTAGTGTCTAAAAAAGTTCTTTATTTGAACAAATTGGAACTCATTAATATTAAAAGCACCTATACTATTAGATATTTAAAATGTGCTCTAACTTATTTGGCTGGAAGAGTTGTCACCAAAGCTTTTATTTTTGGAAAATTCAGCAAATTCAACCCATTTTAGCCAAATAACTATTACCGAAGAAGCCTTAAGCTACTTTCTACTTGTAATGGGAAAACATCAGCTAAATAAAATGTCTATCCTTTTTGGCTTTTCAGATTTCAAGGTCCATAGGTGATGCTTACCTTAAGAAGTCTGAATTCAACCGGGAACCGTTGTTGCCAAAGTTCAGATTATCTGAGCCCTTCAGTGACCCGATTCTTAGTCCGGAACCATCCATTTCCATCCACAAATTGAGTTCTAAGGATCAATTCCTCATATTTGCTTCCGATGGCTTGTGGGAGCACCTGAGCAACCAGGAAGCAGTTGACATCGTCCGCAGTTCCCCTCGCAATGTAAGTTCTAGGAGTCTGTTTGGCACATCAAACCATAAAGCTAGTTGGGGTGCTAAGTTCACTTATCCTGATAGTTTGGGGTAGTTGAACTAATTTTCCTAAACAAAATTATTACTTTGGAAAATAATAAGGGTTATTGGTAGAAAAAATAAATAAACATTAACTCAACATTGTTTCACTATGACATTAGACACCTTAAATATTTAGTTGTTGTTTACTTGACAAACAGGGAATTGCTAGAAAGCTTATCAAATCCGCACTTCGCGTGGCAGCCAAGAAAAGAGAAATGCGGTACTCGGACCTGAAGAAGATTGAAAGAGGAGTGAGGCGGCACTTCCACGACGACATTACGGTTGTGGTCGTGTATTTAGATCCGGTTTCCATTAGTAAAAAACCTACACATAGTCCTACACTTTCAGTTAAATCAGGTGCAGGGAGCCCTCATTATCCAGCCTCTTACTAGTCTTCACCTTCACTTATAGTTTGTCCTGAACAGTGGTATATGTAAAATGTGGTTACTTATGTTGCAGTTCAACTTAGTACATAAGCATAAAGAAAGTGTTTTCTTTTTCTTTTGCTTTTAATTTTTTTTTTCATCCTCTTTTTTGGGATCAGAACGGAAATTAAAAGTAGAATTCGCTTCACAAGAATGTGAGACTGATCTTACCTAGGATTATTGAGGTCAAGATGACTGTTATCGATACGTATATATATGATGAATTGATCCAGATATCCTTTGAAATAAAGTTGTGTTGACTTTTACAGCCTTTAGGTTGCCGTAAATAATGTTAATTAGTTGTACATTGCTCTTAAAGTGGAATATTCCACCCCAAGGGACAAAAATATGACTTTTTAGGAAATTTTCTAAAAAAGTGACACATTGAGTGACTAGTTTCCAATGACATTTTATTCGGAAACACACTATAATGACTCTTGTTTAGTGATTAGTCATATTTTTGTCAAAAAGCATACCTAGTAACTAGTTACTCCCTCCATCCCATAAAATAAGTCTCACTTTTCTTTTTGCGCCGTCCCAAAAAATTGTTCTCATTTCCCTTTTTGGAAAGTTTTGTGTGTCTAACATTCATTTACCTTTTTGTTATTCAATCACAACAATACATTTTCACTTTATTCTCACTTTCTTAAACTCCGATCCAAATTGAAGTGTGACTTATTTTATGGGACGGAGGTAGTATATTTTTGTCCGGTGAAACTCATTTGCAATATACATGACATTTTTTCTTCATTTAATGTTTCAATAATGTCACTTTGTTGGAAGGAAAGTAATCTATTTCATGGCTTCCAACCATATTATATACTCCCTCCGGTGTCAAACAGTTCTTCCAACCATGAAAGTAATCTATTTCATGGCTTTCAATTAACTTCACACTTCTTCTCCCTTTCTTATTTGGTAAATCATGTACATCAAAACAGTGCAAAACAGTGCCAAACAGTGTCAAATAGTGTCATAACAGTGTATTCTACAGTAAAGTCAAATTTATTTCCTTAATTTGTGTGAAGTCAAAGTGTGAATTTCATTTGAGACCGGAGAGAGTATATAGATATATTTTTTCTAACAACCTTTGTAGTCAGATTAATGATCAACGCTTGAATGCAATGTAGTACTCAGTCTTTATAATATCTTTAAATACGGAGTAAGAATATTTCATTGTTCGATCTTTATTATTTTTGTGTCTAAATGAATTTCGATTTTTAAGTTTTTAATTTTCAAATAATATATTTATATTTATTGCATTTTGATAAAGTGTGTCGTTTATAGCTTGTAACTATTAATCACATATTTACATGATCTTTAATGTGAAATTACTATAATTATGAAGTTACTAAATGCTTAATTAAAAAAGACGGCATTTTTCATTTCTTTTGATTCGATATAAATAGTTTTTTAATACAGATTTACGGAATAATTATCTACGGCATTGTTTTGAATATTTGGAAAGTAGTTGAATCTTATTCATTACATTTCAACAATTCTTGTTATACATACTTTACTGTTGTACACACTTATATACATGCTTGTGAAGACTTTTTGTCTATCACAGACAAAACACATTTTGTTTGAGACTGACAAAAAAAATCTTCACAAACACGTGTATAAATGTGTACAATAACAGGGGTGGATCCAGAAACATTAGTTATTGAGGGCACTAATTAAGAAAAAGTGGAAAAATAATATTCAAATAATAAATACTACGTATAAATTAATTTCAAAAAATGAAATAATTCAATAATATCAGAATACAAATATACTAATTACATTTTATTACAAATGCTCTCTACGAGTTTTCATATTTTAAAACGCTCTATCACAACTACACTTTCAACTGTATCCTGCACATCTCTTTCCATATACAAATAAGATAATCACTCAAAAACTTGTCAATGATCCTATAGCATGAATTTGACTTGACAACATTCATCCTAAAATCAATGATAATTTCATTAGTTAGTACACTAAATGATACTCCCTTGATCCCACAAAATTTGATCAATTTAATTTTTTTTGATGATCCGTAATCAACATTGGACAATGTTTTTAGTTATTATATTTGTTTGGAATTTAAAACATTTATACTTTTTTGAGAATATATTTAAGAAAGAACATTTTCATAATATTTCATATTTGAAATAATTTCGGTCATTAATCAAGAAAAGTATTTTTCTTGGTCATCATCACAATAACAAGGACACCGAGGCTTCTCAAGACAAAGAATCGTTCATCATCACACACATACTCTAATTTATAAAATATAAATACTACGGTGAACATCTTTATTAATTTCTTCTTAGAGTATGAAAGATCTAATTTTGAGAGCTGAATCTGTTGTGGATACTGAATTCTCGGTGAAGACTGTGTGAGTCGAATAATTTTTTAGGAATTAGATCATATAATTAAAATAAATGTTTTTAAAAATATAAATTAGAACTTCATTGGGGGCATGTGACCCCATTGACTACTTTGATGAATTCACCTCTATACAATAATAAAAGTGTGTGCAAAAGATTTTTTTTCATTACTTTATACAATCAGGGATGTAACTAGGGAGGGCCAGCCCTGACTCTGACCCAAGCCAAATTTAAAAAATGTCTATATTTTTTGTGTAAAAAGTTTCGTGTAATAAACTTCCAACTTTCCTTTTTCGTTCGTTCCAATTAAAACTTCCACTTTCCCTTTTTGGTAAAGAATTTGTGGTTCACAACATTTCTTACACATTTCTCTCTCCTCTGCACAACTCTCCACCACACAATATCCACTATCTTAAACTTTGTGCCAAAAGCATTTGGAAGTTAAAATGGGAACGGAGGTAGTATTTTTTATACAAAATGGATAAAAAAAAATAAGGAAAAAATTTCTTTCTAAGATATTACTAAAATTTCTTTATAAGTATCTTTTGTGTAAATAGTTACTACTACCTCCGTCTCGCTATGATTGTTCAATTTTACCTTATCGGTCCGTCCCACTAAGATTGTCTCATATCAAATTTGGTAAAGTTTATGTGACCCTAAATCATTCTTACTTTATTCTTACTTTATCAATTTAATATTAATCACATAAACCACTTTTTATTAATTTTCATGTCACTCCTCTGTCCTATCATTAGTGGGACGGAGGGAGTATAATAAAGTGACATGAAAACTTAAATTTAAGATACTTATAAATATGATTAAATAGACAATCTTTATTTTAATCATAAATATCTAATTATTTCAAAAAATTGTAACAATTCAAGAAAAGAAAAAAAGGTCAGATAGGGTCTCAAAAAAATGTCAAATAAGGCCTTATATAAGAGGTTCTGTCCGGCCGACGTCATTTGGGGCGGTTCCCGATGGAATTTTTTGATGAAATTTTGTGAGCATCTTATTCATTAAGTCTAGTTTACTCATACCAAAATTCAGCTAAAACTTCAATCGGGAAGTCATTCAAATAAATTCTTGAAGATAATTGCGCTTTTAACTGCGCACTTATCTTAAAGAATTTATTTGAATGCATTTCCTATTGAAGTTGTAGCTGAAAATTTGTATGAGTAAACTAGACTTAATGAATAAGATGCTCAAAAAAGTTTCATCGGGAAATTCCACCGAGAAACGGCCCAAATGGCGTCGGCCGGTCAGAAAAGACCTTATTTGACATTTTTTTGTAAGTTCAAGACCCTATCTAACCCTTTTCTCAAAAAAAGAGGCAATGCCACATGAAAGACCATGACCCTTGGTGACAATTTGGGAGTTTAATGCACCAAACCCATATAGAAATTCAGCGCATTAGCCTCCCGTGATTTGAAAAATGCGTCAAATCTCCTTGTGTTTTAATTAATCATGCACATAATCCCTTTTATGACTAAATTTAATAATTTTTAAATCACTTTTCATAATATTCTCATTGAATATGCAAGTAAATATGTCAAAATCTCTAAATTATACAAAAATGTTAACCAATTTTCTTTTATTTGACAATTGAATTTGTTCATAGAATGAATTTTGCACATAATTAATTAAAACAAAAAAAGTTTGACGCATTTTTTAAATCACGGAGGTGTGCCGAATTTCCGAATTTGGTGCATTAAACCCCACAATTTGGGAAGGATGAAATAAAATTGGACTCTATCGTGAAGCCATCGCTGATCGAGTCACTTCATCTCATTCACACTTCACCGCTTTGACCATTGGAAACGAACTTGGATTTCTCATACGCTCTTACTCGTATATAGCTGTGGTAAAGCCCCAGTTTATTGAGTCGCGAACCCATATTCGTTCGCCTTTTCACGTTCCAAGAGCAAATTCTAAGCGAATATGGCAGCGTCGTTAGTTCCTATGATCATTCTACAACTACAGATTTTACTCGAATTTTTCAACACTTAATATCCAAGATTTATTGCATTAATTTTGTATAGTTTATGAATTTAAGTCTGGGTTTCAAGGGCTTTGAATTGAAATTTCTTTCCATCTTGTTGAGCAGATTTATTCAAGAGATCCTCCCTCCCTCTCTGGACTCATCATCCCAGCCACCCAACCTCTTCGATGGAACCACCAGGTACCCATTTAATTCGCATGCACGAGACGCTATTCTACGGATGAGCCTTTCTTAACTGTTGTCATTTATGCGTAAATTTAAATTTTGATGAAGGTTGTACACCAATTATCAGTGCCCATATGCCCAGCGGGTTTGGATTACTCGGAATTACAAGGTTTCTTTCTTAATCAACTCTTTAATTAAGAAACCGGCCGTTTGGTATCATTAAAATCAGTTGAATTCGCTGAAATTGATGGAATTATAAGGGACCGTTGGATTTGCTTAGTTGTGAAAAAAAATAATTAAAATACATTTTATTGATAAAATAAATAAAAAAGTCTATGGACAAAAAGCTCAGATAGTCCTCCCTTCCATCAATTTCAACCGAATCAGTCACACAAGTACATTTGTCCATGCCTATTTTATTTATTTTTATTATTACACAATTCAGTGATATAATAAAGTTGCTGACAAGGCTTATAAGCAGAAAGAAAGTGTTAGATCTATAAAAGTCATAGGCTTACAAGCAGACAGAGAGGGTTGGCTCTATAAATGTCTTCTTTAATGATTTACTGGTAGGTTAACAGAATAATAGTTAATGTGATTATAAGAGGCAACGTATGAAAGTTGTGAATCTTAAAACATTACCCCATATATAACCTTACTTTGAAGTTGGATTAGCCCTCGTATATTACTCCATAATTTTATATGTTTCATAGTGATTACAGAAGTCAGCTACCGGATTGACCGAATCTGGATTTGGTTAAATATTTGATACTTTCTATTAGTTGATTTATTTTATTGGGGATAACCTGCAGGGTCTACAAAATGAGATAAAATTGGTTCCAATTGACCTTCAGAATAGGCCTGCTTGGTACAAGGAGAAAGTGTACCCTGAGAACAAGGTACTAATTCTTTTGTGATGAAAGCAGCATTTTCATGTCACGCACAAATGATGTCTAATCTGTAGCTAAATTTAGTCAAATTCACACTCTGTTGTGGTTTGACTTTACCTCATCTGTAACATATCCAAATTAGAATATGCCAAAGCAAACTATTTACCTCACTAAAGTTTGCTGTTGGTTAATCTTTTTTAACAAAATAAAACCGGTATTCAGTTCTCTCCATTTTATTAAATCATTACTCTACTGGAGTAATTATATGTTTTAGGATAGAGTGATTATGCTACACATTTATTTAATTTTTTTGGGTACAACAAAAGGGATCTAACACATTTTTGTAATTTACCAAAGTCGTCACCTTTCTTGTTAGTGATAGTATTACTACATGAATTTCTTTTTGCTTATGATGAGCAGACATCATCTGAACCATATTTTATTGATGCTTGTATCCCATCAAACTGGGCAAGTTGGCATCTTATTTTTAATTTTTGTTATTTTCTAGATGTACTTTTGTAACAGATAGAGAGTATCATTAAGTAATTCATTTAATAGTTGCATACTTGCACCGTTGCACGTTACAAATGGTGTGAAAGGATGAGGTCGGGCGGGCTTTGACCTGATCTTTTAAATGGGGCATAGTATGTCTCAGAATTTGCCAAGGTGGTAAGGCCAGGACATTAATAGATGTGAATCTTTGATGCAGCTAATTCATGATTATTCTTTTTCTTTTCTTTTCTTTTGTCTCATAGGTGCCTTGTTTGGAGCACAAAAACAAAATTATTGGAGAAAGTCTTGACCTGGTCAAGTACATAGACAGTAACTTTGAAGGTCCATCTCTTTTACCAAGTGTAAGATTCAAATGGCTCTTCTAATTTGTTAATATTCCATACCCTTCTCCAAGTTAGACTTCAAATACTTAACGGTTGCCAATACATTAATATAGGATCCTGAGAAACAGAAGTTTGCCGAGGAGTTGATAGCGTACAGTGACACATTCAACAAACAAGTGTTTGGTTCATTCAAGGGAAACCCAGAGAAAGATGCAGGTAAATAAAAATCTTGATCTTTAATGCAAACATTGCGGAGGTTTTCTTAAAATATTAGTGAAATAGACTATGGTAAAATATCGGTGAAATGGACTTTATGCACAAAAAATGACATGACTACAAATACTGTGAGCTTAACGCCCTTTCAATGCATTCGACTAAAATTAAACATAATGATGTCAGAACTACTACAAATCTACTATGGTCTATCGTAAAGAAACTCACATATAGGTCCATTATCTTAATTTTAGTCATATATTGGTCATTATTTCAAAATATAATATATATTACAAGAATTTTTTTTAGAGGTTTAATTAACCAACTGTTATTTGCAATACTACCCTATCAGCTGGTGCCCTTGACCTTATAGAAAAAGCACTTGGCAAATATGATGGGCCTTTCTTCCTTGGAGAGATTAGTCAGGTATGCATATTTTTCACGCTTTATTGATGTCCAGCCCGGCATTGTGGTGGAGCATCTTAACATGGCAAAAGATTAATGTTACAATATCTGTTCACCCAAGAATTTGGGATTAGATTTTTGAAGGAAAGTGGGTTTGCTTCAATTTCCTAGTCCCCGGATTGCTCAATCTCAAAGGAAGAAAAGCAAAGGAAATCTTCTTATTAATTGTAATTTAATTGTGTTACTCAGGTTGACATTGTTTATGCTCCATTCTTTGAAAGGTTCCGCCCCTTCATACTGGAAGTGTTTAAGTATGACATTGCAAACGGCAGGCCTAATATAGCAGCATGGATTGAGGTATTCAACTATTCATAATTTCATATCATAACAATTTTACTACAACGTATTATAATTGTTATTAAAGTGTCATCTTTGTATGGAGCAAAACTGCAATATTTTTGGATGATTTTGATTTTTTATCTCTTTAAAACATTCCATTTCTTTTCAGGAGTTGGAGAAGCTTGATGTTTACAAAGTGACGAAATGTGACATCCCAAAAATGATTGAATTTTTCAAGGCTCGCTTTCAGGTACTTTCCCGTTATTATATACTCCGTGCGTAGTATCATAGTAAAATCCTTTATTGCAGAGCAGTAATATTTTACTTTTACATATGCCAATATCCCTTGATCTTCATGCAGGTTCAAGCGTAAAATGGAGATCGATTTCATCCATCTTTCAAGTGATAAGATAGTATTTTCATCAACAAGTGATGCTGTTTAGAAGTTGCTATAGATCTTAAACATATAATGCAATTTGCAATGCGTGATAAAAAATACCATCCTTATAGTTGGCCTTTTATACTACGTACGGAGTATATAATAAAAAACCCTATCTTTATATAGCTCACTCCAATAAAATTCTGGCTCTAAACTTTGATGTATGTTCGGCTATTGTATACTCTGTAATATTTATAATATATGGAGTTGACTTGTTTGTCAATGTTCCCATTGTGTCATGGGATATTTTAGAATCTCTTACTTTTGAACTGAAATTTACTTTACGAAGTTAGTTTGGAGGTTTACTTTTGAACATATGTTTTTCTTAAATAGTGTAATATATTGGTCCATGTTATACTTATTGAAACACAACTTTTTTCACTTATAAATTATTGTTTTCAAATGATAAAAAAATGTTTAAATAAGTTTTAAAATATGAGTGTTATACTTCTTTTGTTCAAGTCCAATTATGATAGTCTCATCTTACATTCTTTATTCAATATTAAACACATAAAATCACTTTTCTCAAATTGTTTGGAGTATTTCATATAAAATACTATTTAGATCATACTATTTGAGCAATATCACTCTGCCTTACTTCTATTTTGAACTATCTTAAAGTTCTAACCAAATGAAAAATCATAAGGAAAATTCCAAAGGTAAACACTTTGTTGTGTACACACTTTTACACATGTCTGTGTAGGATTTTTTTTTTGTTACAGACAAAGAAAACTTGCACAGACATGTGTAAAAGTGTGTACACGCAAAAATGTGTACCTCAAGTCCAACACAAATCATAAACTCATCTAGGATATACCATCGATACACAAAGTTTATACTCCCTCCGTCCCAATTTGTAAGATACTTTACGGTTTACGATGTTTGACCGACGATAAAGCAAATTGATCCCTGTCAACACTCAAATTAGTTTTAGAAAATAAAATTTACATATTCAGAAACTACATTAAAATCGCTACAAAACCTGCAATAAATAATCCAAATTTCATAAACTTTTGATATATAAAGTAAAAGATTAAGAATGATTTATGTTGACCAAGTGAATAGTAAATATATCTTACAATTTGGGACGGAGAGAGAATATTAAAAGAGATGTTACAATGAATAAGTTACAAGAATAGCATTACAAAGATGTAATGAACTCAAGAATCAAATTAACCATTTGAGCATCAAAAGCAGGACCTTCCATCTGAAAATGGCTAACCCCTTCAAGGAGATGCGTTTGGTTATTCTCACCCACAGCTTTCTTCAGCTTCTTCTCCAATTGCCCCACACTGGTAAACCCATCTTTTGTACCCATCACAAACAGCTTCGGCTTTAGGGATTGCAATAAGGCCTTTTGGTGTCCTCCAAACAGAACCGAAGCTGTGAATCCGAAGGGGTACCCTAAGCTGACGTAGCCCACTACTTCCTCCACCTTATCAATTGCAGATCCGGCGATTGCAGCTCCGGCGGAGGATCCTACGACGACGATGCGGCTCGCGGAGAGGTCATTGGCGGCCCACTTGCAGACGGAAACAACGTCGTTGACCTCGGCGGATCCGGTGAGGGAAGCGCGGCCGGTGGATCTTCCGGCTCCGCGGGTGTCAAATGTGATAGCTGTTAGTCCTCTACTCGCCAGACCGCGGGCCATCCCCTTCATTAGTCCCTGGCAGCCACCTAGCACTGAGTAGGGATGCACCATCACCAGTGCTAACGCCGAATAGTCGGCACCCTTATGGTCGTGATCGGCAGCGGATGGCCGGAAAATTCGGGCATCGAGAGCGACTCCGTCGGTAGTCTGGATGGTAGAATACTCTGTGGTTGTTTCAGACATTTTTGGAGACGGGCGGGTGCGGACTACGAAGATCGAATCAATAGTCAAAAGCAAATAGTCCCTCCCTCCTCCGGACAACTTTCCTTTTTTTTGATCCCAACTTTGCCATTTTTCTTTGAAAATTTTCCACTTTTGGTCCCTCGAGTATTATACCACTTCCGCATTACGTACTTGACTTTCAACTTGTCCACATTTAGTCCTGACGTTTTCTTCCTTTACCATCCGTCGTCCTTCCGACCAAAACTCCGGCCGGTTGAATCATTTATTAAAAAAGGGAAGGTTAGTCTAGTAATTTCATAGGCTTAAAACGGCTAGAAGTCCATTCTCTGCATATCTGCGCTTACTCTATGAAACTTCCGGCTGAATGAGGACGATTACTCTGCGAACCCTAAAACCATACCGGTGAATGAGGACGCTTCCGGCTGGAGTGTTTGCAATCAGAATGGGGCGCAGACCGAATGGAGAAGGAAGAAGTTGTCATCAAAGTTCTTCATCAAATGTTGCTGGTAATGGTAAATTTGTTGAATTGAAGTACAAATGGTGCTCGGTAGGGTATGGTTTTGTGCTCGGTAGGGTAGGGTTTTGTTGTTGAGAATCTTTTTTCTCTTTACTTTTTGGGATTTGACAAATGAGACCAATTCTTTTTCCTTTTCCCTTTACTTACAATGATTGAACTACCACATTAAATGTTTTTTATGCAGCCCCATGTGATACCACGTTTACTCTAAAGTTGAGGTACGGAGGAAGAGTGAGTGAGAGTAGCAGACCATTTTACAGGGGAGGTACTACACATTTGTTTTCTGATGTAGATGTGGATGAGTTTGGCTTAATTGTGTTGAAAGAGAAACTAGAAGAAGTTGGTTGCACAAAGAAGTTAAGAAGAGTCTTTTGCTATTCAAATTCTTCACTAAATGAACTGAAAGGTGACTCTGAAATCTGGTCCTTTGTGAGTAATGGAAGTGTGGGTAAAATTGTGGAGTTGTGGATAGAATTAGAAGAAGTTGATGATAATGGAGATACATATGAGGACCTCTCAGATAGTGATTTTGCTTATAGTGAGAAGGACCTAGAAGACTTTTCAGGGGATGATGAAGATTCTGACCTAGGGGACTTCATATGTGAAGATGATGCTGATTTTGCTAAACACATTGATCCAACAGCTGAATATGGAGGGCTGCACAGCAACAGTGAAAGACAGAACATAGAAAGTGAATCATTAGTGGTAGATCCTGATCCAAATTTGTCTGATGATGCTTCAATACATGATTCAGATTCTGATGCTGAAAACCGGAGTACATTTTGTGCCCAAACTGATATGGAAAACCCATCTTTTAAGCTTGGAATGACATTCAGTACCAAACATGAATTCATGCAGGCAGTTCAAAACCATGCTTTCAAGACTGGTAAAGATGTGAAGTTTGTAAAGAATGACAAGATAAGAGTTGTTGTGAAGTGCAAACACCTAGACTGCCCATGGAGGATCAATCTCAGAAAGGTAGTTGATGCTCACTCTTGGAGGATACTTGAGTACCAAAATAAGCATGATGGGTGCTCTTGGGTGTATCACAATAAAATGGTTAACTCAACCAAAGTTGCTAAGAGATGGTTGAAGGATATTAAAAGTCACTCAAACTGGAAGACCAAAGAATTCAGACAAAAGATGTGTACTGATGAATGATTCCATGTAAGTACAAGGCAGTTGCTAGTTGTAGTAGGGTTAGATGCAAATAATAGCATCTTTTCTTTGGCCTATGCTATTGTTGAGGGGGAAACAAAGGATTCATGAGCTTGGTTTTTGAACCTAGTAAGAAGGGATGCTGATATCAATGAAGAGAATGAACATGTATTCACATTGATGTCTGACAAGCAAAAAGGCCTCATCCAAGATGTTAATGAATTATTTCCCATGGTTGAACATAGGTTCTGTGTTAGGCATCTACATGGGAATATGAAGGTGGCTGGATTTCCTGGAAAAGCTGTGAAAGATGCACTTTGGGACTGTGCCAGGGCTTGTACAGTGAATTCTTTCAAAACAAGTCTAACCAAGTTAAAGGAAATTGATGAAAAGGCTTTTGATTGGCTGGCAGATAAAAATCCTACAGAATGGTCCAAGTCTCATTTCTCTACACACTCCAAAACAGATATGTTAACTAATAATATATGTGAGTGTTTGAATGGGGTCATTTTAGAGGCAAGGCAAGAGGTTATTTTAGTATGTTTTGAAAGCATTAGGAAGCTACTGGTCACAAAATTTTTTACTAGTAGACAAAAGGCAGAGAAATGGACTACTAATTTGTGCCCTAGAATTGTGAAAAAGTTACAAGAAATTGAGAAGTTAGCTGCAAGTTTAATAGGGTATCAGTGTGGTGAGAATGACTTTGAGATTACTGGAATGAGTGGTACACAGCATGGGGTTGATTTAGAGAGGAAAATATGCACATGCAGGCTGTGGGACTTAACTGGTATACCATGCAAGCATGTTGTGTGTGCTATTTGGTTGAAGTATGGAAGAGGTCCAGTTGATGCTTACGTGCACCCATGTTACACAAAAGAATCATATTTGAAGATATATGTTGGCAGTATAAAGCCAATGGCAGGCAAAGATGAGTGGCCTATTTCTGATAAAATTCCCCCACTTCCTCCTGTGTATTCAGCCAAGCCCGGAAGGCCAAAAAAACTGAGGAGGAAATCAGCTGTGGATCTAAGCAATGATGGAGTGAGAGTAGCAAGGACACACATCAAGATGCATTGTTCAAAGTGTAGAAAAGAAGGCCATAATGCAAGGAGGTGTCCTGAAGATCCAAATAACAAAGAGAAACTGGTAAATACACTCATGATTTATGTTATTTATGTCATTTACTTATTTAGGACTTATATGTACTTCATCTTATTTTTCTTTAACCATTATATTTTTTCTACACATAGCTTCAACCTAGAAAAAGAAAACCAAAATCTGCACCAAGGCATAGTGGAGGAAGTGTTGGTGAAAGTGCTGGTAATGAGGATGTGGGAGCACCCAAGGTTTCTGCTTTAGATGAGGACAACCTTATGGATATCAATATGCAATATGAAGACTTCCCATCTTTAGGACTTGAGTTTCCTATTGTTGTTTCAGTGGAAGATACTTCAATGTTCACTCAAGTGAGTGACCAAGAAGCTGAAAAACTAAGTGGCCAAGATGCTGAAAGAGAGACTGGAGAAGGGACTGAAACCCAAAGTCAGGATAGTGCTGCAAACCAGAGTGATGCTATTGATGAAAACAAGATTGATGATGTTGACAAAGACAACACCCATGGGTTTGAGCAAAGAAATACTCATGGGGTCAGGATAAGCTTTGGACCACCCCCTCCTTCTAAGACTTTCAGTTCAAAAGGTGCACAACCACAAGGGGTGAACTCAGGACATGGAAAACCAAAACTCAAAAAACTTGACATAAAAAAAGGACCAACCTATTCTACCAGATCCAAAACGACCTTCAAGTCTGTTTTTTTTTGGGAATGATGCAGACCCAATTGACCTTGGCTAGTGTTTGATGTCAATCATTTGGAAAGGACTGTAGGGGCTTCCATTTTGTTGTAGGTTTTATTGTAGTGTTTGTTGTACCATGAACTTCAGTGTAGTTATCACTATGTTTTTTGCCCACCAGGAGATATTACAGGTTGCTATGCGTAAATGGTGGTTGTTTTGGAAGTACAAAACATTTGCTATGACTATAATTTTAGTGTGTCTATGTTTGTAATTCTGTTTGCCCACCAGGAGATATGACGTGTTGTTTATGTTTATTTTCAATGGGATGATATACCAATATGTTTATGTTTGTAATTCAGTTCTTTTAGTGACCATAGTATATGTTTCAAGTTAAGTGTGTTTGTAGTGAATCATGTTTTCCAGTTTATAATGTAACACAACAGTTGTAACATTGAATATGCAAAAGAACTTCATATATACATGTCATCAACATGAACATTTGGCATCAATACATTTCAAAGATATTACCAACATTCCTCAAAATTGTTCGGAATACATAAAAACCATGCTACAAGACTATTTTCTATGTGCATACATGGATGCAAAAACCACAAAAAATGTTATAATGCACACGCCCAGTCTGCTGCAAGAGTATCTTTTGTGCTCTATCTTCTCCATCTTATCTTTTTTGTTTTCTGGTTTCTCAGCTGCTTCCAGCTTCATCTCCAATGTGTGAATGTGGTTTTCATACCCATTCAGTTTTCTTAACAACCCTGGAATGATTTTCTTGGATCTTTTACACATTGGAGGGTCAAACCAGTCCATCAAACCACACCCTTCAGACCACTGCAATCACATAATACAAATACTTACAAAATCAATCATCTCAAAAAATATGGAAAATTTTAAAGCTGCACCATGCTACTAATACCTCATTTCCAATGCATTTCCAAAATCTTCTCCCACAGTTTTCTGGTTTCCATGTAGTCAAAAGCTTCAATTCTTTCCCACATTGACAATGTTTGACCGGAATCCACTCTCCATATTCATACCGGCCTATTGATTTCGAGGTAGTTGAATTGCTGCTATACATGGTGGCCTTCGAGCTTACAGAGGTTGTCGTTGGAGTGAACAGGGAGGAGTGCCTACGAAGGAGGAAAATGACGGACTATAGATGGAGTTGTCGTTGGAGTGAACAGGGAGCTTACAGAGGTTGTCGTTGGAGATTTAGGTTTAAATGATGGATAATGTAAGGGGTATTAAAGAAGGGGTGGTTACGATACAGATGGAGTTGGCGAGGAAGAAGTGAAGACCAGCCTATGAAATTACTAGACTAACCTTCCCTTTTTTAATAAATGATTCAACCGGCCAGAGTTTTGGTCGGAAGGACGACGGATGGTAAAGGAAGAAAACGTCGGGACTAAATGTGGACAAGTTGAAAGTCAGGTACGTAATGCGGAAGTGGTATAATACTCGAGGGACCAAAAGTGGAAAATTTTCTTTTCCTTTTAAGTAAATAATTTATGGTTCCAATTCATTCTCTCCTCTACACAAATCTCAACCACACAGTGTTCACTTTATTATTCCTCGTACCGAT